TTCTCCTTCTCCTTCTCCTTCTCCTTCTCCTTCTCCTTCTCCTTCTCCTTCTCCTTCTCCTTCTCCTTCTCCTTCTCCTTCTCCTTCCTTCTCCTCCTTCTGTTTCTCCTTCTCCTTTTCCTTCTGTTTCTTCTATTTCTTCTCCTGGCATATTGATTACAAATGCTGATATAACTGTAAAAGTTACACTGTGCTTCAACAAATTATTGTAACATYTATATTCTTTCTTTGGTTAATGTTTCATAATTGCTCTTGCTAAATCAATAACCTTAAGCCTAAAGAAGTATTTATAATATCTGGAACCACTGTATAAAATAATAAGAACTAACAATAAGACTTTGATTAGCTGCAAGGGTTACTGTACCAAAGTTATGCTTTCAATTTTCAAAATACTGTTTTCCATGTACTCTTGTGTTTGCTTGCATGCAAGACACATACTGCTCTTTGCAATCAAGGGAATAAAGGAAAATCAAAGAAATGCCCACCTTAGTGTGGTTAAAAAATACTACACATATCACCCCCTGCTTTTCTGACTGACAGTTCTTGAAACTAAGATTGACAACATGTAGGAYGTAATGAGTGGGAAGACGACTGGARTGTTCAGCTTATAAAGAAAGGTCTGCCTTCACAATAGCACTAGAAGTTGTTACAGTCATCTGTTACTGCATTTGGAGAAGAATATGATAAACTGTATAAAAAAATACCAAAATGATGTAAATGCCTACTTTTTGAAATTATGGATTGTATTTATGGATCCCCACATTCACCAAATTGCTTTCCYAGGGCAGTGCTGTACTAATGATATTTTTCTTAAGAAGTTTATAGAGAAAGAACAGGGGAAAGAGAGATAATAATGACCAGTGAATGAACAGTAATTTGTGACCATGCTCACAGCACTAAGAGGAGTCAAGGGTAAGCTCTTTCTGCCAAGGAGTAAGAGTTTCTGGGAACTGAGAGATCCAGAGTTTCTGAGGTCAAGTGAAAGGACTACCTTATTTCCACTGGTTAGAGACAGCCAGTCCTGCACAGCTTTACCAGATCCACATCACATAGTTCTCAATTCTGTCTTTTAGCCAAATTTTGAAGGCCTGAGAGATCATCTTTAATTTACAGGTCTGGAGAATTGGGGCAGGTGCCTTTCCCCCATCTTCACCCAAACTAAAATACCAAATCTAATGTGAAAACTACGTTGCAGGTTCCTAGAGTGGCAATTTATATTAGGAAATTCTGAGGGTCCTGTCATAGGAAGTTTTGACGTGTGATCTGCATTTGTGATGGATTTGTGATTCGTTTGTGAGGACTGTGTTCAAAAGCTGAGAAAAATATATGGAGGGAAAACTGGTGGAAATCTGAGAGAGTTTTATCTGCATAAACTTTTGAGATTAGCCCATGAAGAAAACTCTCCAAAAGCCTGTTCAGGCCTTGTCTTAAAGAKCATTCTAAAGCATAACTAGGGAAAGAATTACCAAATAAGCAGGTGTAGATGAACAGAGGTCTAGTGCTTAAGCAACCTTGCTCTTTCATGAGTTAGGACACATGGAACTGTAGATATCAGGAATCAGGGAAGGGTTCTTTCCCTATAATGAGAGGAGTAAGAATTGACTCATAGGCTAACAACGACGACAAAGTACAAGCCTAAAAAAAAGGTCTCATCATGACTCAAAGCCACTGAGTTCTGTGTTCTCACACTTCTTTCCCACTCTCTTTTTCAGGTARGGAAATATGCCAGTAGTTATCAGTCCTATATTTAGAGTGGATACTTTACAGGACTCCTATGGCTTGGAGAGTTCTGTATCATACATGGTCAATTTTCTAGTTGACCACTCTCTATCCACCTGCAAAGAGGGTGAATCCATGGTTCTAYAGAAGCTCCTTGCTTCCAAACTTGCTAGCAGTTATATAGGCAGCAAATGTAGGCAGTATGAATGCTGAACAGCCTCATAATTCCTGGTGTGGGCACAAAGCCAGGATCACAATCTGGCTCTTCAAGACTTGACACATTCTCAGAAGACTGTAATACAGTATTGTTATTTATAGAATTTTGGCCCTGTTTGAACTTTCCTACTTTTATATCAGAGGATAAAACCTGATGGTATCTTCTAAAATCTGTAAGACAGGGTGTATCTTTCTGCAAACTCTGATAATAATTAGAGTGTACAAATTGCTCTAGATCTTTCAGATTCCTCTGCTATAGCAATGTCATTTTATCCTATGCATTGTTCTGGTTTTCAGCACTAAAGGAAACTAATTTGATTATTATCTCAGGATTTTTCTATTTCTTTTTATTATACAGAGCCAATATGTCCCTAAATTTAGATATAACACAGCAAATGGGGTAAAATCAGAGAGAGAGTATAGTTCAATTCTAGAATAGTATTTGTGTCTATTTTGTTGTGAGATTGGTTCTTGGGCATTAAAGGATTAATTTCCCATACATAACAGAAACCCAACTGGAACAATTGTCTTGACACTTTTTAGAATCTTAAAACTTGGTATACTCCAAGTTGTGGCAGTGATTATCCTGGGCTGTGATGTCTTAAGTGTTGCACAGGATTTTAAAAGCCATATTTTGTATGTGAATGATTGTTTTTTAAAGATGGTGAAATAACCTATCGAAAAGATTCTGAAGAAAGCTTGAATGCATGTGGAACCTTGTGGAAAAGCTTGTGGGCAGTATGTACCTGTTTCTACTTGCTAGCAAGCATCAAATATATTCATGAAACAAGCTTGTTACTGCTCATTACTGAAATAAACATGCTGGGTTAGGAAACAYAGTTCTAACCCCTGTTTCTGTCTTGTTTGACTTGAATTAAATTTGACAAGATGTTCAGGCATTGGGGCAAGCAGACAACAGAGAGAAGGAGGACATGAGCTGAGACTGATTGTCCTTTGGTCACCMTTCTCAAGAGGACTCATTGCGAAGTTTCTGCACAGCAGAAAGGATGATTCTAYCTTCAAGGCACCAGCTAGCAATTAACATTTGCAATATCACAGTATAACTTTAATGGAGGTAAGTGACTTTGAAGCTTTTACACCTTGTTCCCTGCTGTCTTGCTGAGTGCAGCAGCAGAAATAAGATGCACAGAAGGAACCCTTCACATCCTTTATCCCCTAGCCAGCAATTCAGGGAAAGAAGTTTTGGTGCTTATTTATCTCTGAAGAAAGGCTTTTGAGACAAAAAGAATTATTTTTCTTTGCCAACTTTATCAAGTCAATCTAATGAACAAAATTACTTTTCTCCATTACTTTTGCCCTCTTCGTATACTGCGGAGACCAGAGAAAGAAAGGCAAGAAAGGTTATCTCCTTTATTTGCTKTTCTTATTCATACAGGTAAGCAGCATATAATGTGAGTTTATTATGTGTTCTCAGCTAATTCCATACATCTTTCTTCTGAAGTATGAAAGATACTTTTGTGCTTTTTCATTCTAACAAGTGTTAGTGAAGACATGTAATATGCAAATACTAATGCCACCACTCACAGAAAAGGCAAACCCTTAAATTCAGGTTCATTGGCTTTATTGTGTGCCAATGCAGGAAACAAGGGAACACATGGAACCTCTTTCCTCTAAACRGACTACTTATCTTGCTAACTTACCTGAGAACAGACAGATAAAGATATTCTTATTAGCACAGAGCAAAACCAATTGTAAAGCAGACGTGCGGAAGAAGCTGATCATGGTGGAATCATCATCTCACTTTTCTTTGGAATGGTACTGTGTATACACAGGATGGTTTTAAAGTTGTGYTCTAAGCCCAGATTTACTACAAAAAGCTGTATCTTATAGACTCTATCCCAAACAATCTCCTAAAAAGCTACTATATTGACTTTTGGACATGTTTATATATTGGGGGGCCAGGCCATCTGTCAGGTATTTGCTAACAGGTAATGAAGATTTATACCTTAGCTAAGAATGGGCTAGATTCCATCATTTTTCATTTTCTGACATTCTAGCATTTGGGAATTTTTAAACAGGTGATTAATTATTGCAAAGGAAGATACTATTGATAATCAGAGTTGGATAAGGTCTATCAAAACACATTGTCAACCCTGCATAGATTTTATAAAAGTTTATGCTTAAGGAATATTAGAATATGCTTGTGCTTCGTAACTTTGAAGAATGTGTCCATTTATCATGCAGTGACYCCTCAGACACACTCAGCAATGGTATAAAATTGTGACAATTAAAAAAAAATTATTTATCAGATTAATWCATATTGAATAAGAATGTTATTTGGCAGACTTAATAGTGTATGTATACSTTTAAATTTTTGTCTTTCATTCTGTTGCTTAACTCAATGAAATGTAAGTGATTGAGGACTATGTTCCATTTTCCATTGCTTTATGCATTAGTGCTATTTTTTAAYCAAATGAAAGATGAAAGAATTACAGAAATTCAGTCATAGTACAGTCATAGGCTGATGAAAAAGTAGCTATCCAAAATCCATTTAAATATGCATAAAATCATGCTCCTTTTTTCCTAGGACCACATTATTCCTTCTTTTCCTCAGTTCTTGCATTCTAACTTTCCACTGTACAATATGATTTAGATATACTTGATCAGAAGGATAACCCAATCTCCTGCTTCTAATTACTTGCTTGGTTCTAAAAATATCTTTGAAACAAATCAGTGAATTTGTGAATGGTGTTGGTTCTGCTGAAATCTTATCAAGGAAACCTGAAGTCCTACCTGAACAGCTRATTTCTGAACAGCTGATCCATATATCTGTATTGTTTTAGAGCCCTGCCTAAGTCCGTAGGCATCTAAAGGATTAGTTGGCTTCTTCACTGTTTTCACACATTTTAGYTGTATTTATTTTGGGGACATAATTGTCTGTTTCATACTTATATTTCTACCTGACTAGGGCATAGCGAAATATACACTGAGATCCACAAGGGCATTCTGAAAAAAACTGTTGCAATCCTGATCTTTTAGCTTCTAGCACTGTTCAGCTTCTTCAAAATCACTGACTGCTTGTAGCATTTTTCAGAGAAATCTGAAAGGTTCTTTTTAAAATTTTAATCATCTTGAGGCAGAAAAACATTGTCTTCTAAATTCTGGGAAGCCACCTTTTCATCTCTACTGAACTGTAAAGAAACGTGGCACTGAAAAAAACAGGGGCTGTTAGACTGCAAATGATTAAAAAGAAACTTAACAAATAGTTCCTTCCCCCCCCCCATTGTTTACCTAATATAATACAAACATGTATTAAAATTCAYAGCAAATATGCTTAATATTTTTCCATTTTAATATTTTCGAGACAAGAGTCTAGCTCGTTCTTCAAGTGTCATGCTTCTTGCCCTTTCAGTATTCTCTCCAGACATAAGTTTAATTCCCCAGCTTTCTTAGAACCAAATTTTTCCTCACCTCTCCCACTAAGATCCCCACCTAAAATTTATATCCTTTTAAAACAGTCATCTTGACCTCCAGCCTCTTTCAAAATTTTCTGCAATGCCAGTATTCTGCAATACCAGACACTTTTCTGATGTTAATATTTTATTAAGACAAAGAGCAGTAAATGCAGCTGTCTTCCATTTGAAATCAAAACCAGTTCTTATCTAGAAGAAAAAAAGTAACATTTCCTAAAACATACCTGCATCCATACTTAAAATACATCAAAGATTAGTAAAAAACAGTTAGCTTTTTTTTTTTTTTAAAAAAAAATAACATAAGCTATTTAAGTGCATTTTAGTAGACAAAAGTACCATTGACTAGATCAAGTGTTGGTAAAAGCTCCATGAAATTTGAATAATTTTTCCCCTCAGCAGCCAGTATTTCACTCAGCACTCATCTGTAGTGAGCAAAAGAAAATTGCTCCAASGTTTCTGGTTATAAGTTCTCAATGCAAAGGGAAAGAAAAAAGATGTAATTTTTGCCATTATTTGCTTTTTAGCATAAGAAAAAGATTCATGGTCTCAGTTAAAGCTGAAGTCTGGGCTTTCCTACTCTKTTTTATATTCTCTAGTGATTTTTTGCTATTAGGCTTTATGTATAAGTGCAAAGGAACATCTACTCACCACCTACATGGATGGTATATACACACTGAACAATTTCATAGGGAATTTACTTGATTTTTTCCTTTGTTTTTCTTCTTGAAATATTAATAAGTTCATCTTTTATAAATAGAGTATACAACTGCTCTCTAAGTATTGAAAAGTATTACATTTACTGTCTAAAGGTATAGACTTTCAAAATCACTGCGCCCCTTGAACCAGTTAGAGATGGTTGTTTTCTTCAAAGTAGCTGGCTACCTTTTTTGTTTGTTATGAATAAATTGCTTTCAATAAATTGTACATTTGTCCTATTTTCTGCTGTTCCAGCGCTGACAACCCTTTCTTTCTTTCTTCCTTCAGTCATCTTAAAACTCAATGAGACCTCTATTTATGGCTTGAGTTTAGGAATTTAAATTACATGCTAACGTGCTTATAGTGTGAGAAAGCTTACCGTTTGACTTTTTAAAAACACAGAAGGAATGTGTTSTGTTCAATAGGTTTCCAGCAGCCTTAGAAGATAGTGTTTTGTTTATCTGATTCTGCACATAAAAATCTTTCCAAAAAAAGGGAATATTACCTGAGCAGTGTTCTTCATAATCTTAAATCAAGAAATAATAGCACATTTCTTTATGGCAGAACAGACAATTGAATGGCACTCTCTGATTCTACTGTGATGTTATCCCTTTTTAGGTCATTATCTTCAGCAAGAGCTTTGCTGCTTTATCAGCTGCAATTTAAAATACAGGTTCTTTTAATGTTCTTTCAAAGGCTTAGCTGATAATATCAAGTAAAGTGAATTTGTGGTTTAGCACAAATAATTCCTCTTATCTGAACAATCATTCCTTGAAAGATGCAAAACAAAATGAGAGTTAGAAATGATGTCCACTATGTACCAATGTTCAGTTTAATAGTAAWGTCACTCCAGGATAAAACTGATATTTTTGTATTAGTACCCTTGCACAGTTTTTCACTGATGGTACAATTAGTAACCTACAAAAACATGACACTGACTAGAAAAGAAAGACACAAAATCAGGGACTCACTTTTTTTTTTAAAAAAAAAAAAAAAAAAAAAAAAAACCGCATCACAAAGCAGGTGTATGTTTGGCTAATGGTTTTGGGGCTGCACTTGGCTGCCTTCATGGGAACATCTTGGCTGGGCCAACTGTACCATGTTCTTGCCCCTGTCATTCAGCAGGGCAGCTTTTATTCTTTTCAGCTCCAAAAGGTCTTGTACCATGGGGCTTGGTCTGAGTCTTCCTACTTCGAAAAGACAAACTATTGTAGCATTTCTCATGCTTTGGGATTGATTGATCAYCTATGGGGCACTCATAAGTTTCACCTTCACATATCTCACATTCTGTATTTTAAAATGAAGCTGCCTGATTACATTTCAAGGTATCAAATATTAAGAAAAAAAGCAGATATTTTCTTAGGCTACTGGAATTACACCTTTTCTCTTTCACATGATGTTTCATTAATTGTCTTAGGAAAATAAACTATTTTTTTTAGTAACAGGATAACTGGAAATCTTGAAATATGAACTGCTGAGGATTCTCAGCTGCAAGTGAAATGAGACCTGTTTTGAACATGTGAACTATAAGATAGTACAAAGCACTCTGAAATTCATGCAATGAATATCAGATTTGATTACCCAAAATTTATAGATGTTTCTTAAATGCTGTGTTTCTTTTCACTACCAGACAACTGTTCCCRATCTTTCATTTCCCCATATGTGTTGTGCAATACACTAAAATATAATTGTGAAACATTCAATTAATTCAGAAAAACCAGTAAGTTAATAATTCTCTTTTTGTAAAAAATAAGCAAAAAAAATATTGGTCGGCAGTAAATATTTTTAGATCATTCACGTGAGAGAAAAAAAATGAGCTCAATTCATGCTGTGTATTGAAGAACCTCCCTGTTAATGTGTTACAGTCTCTGTTCCCTGATTCTGGTCTTCCTTCTTAGCAGTTTCCAGTCAGACCAGTACAATTCTCTTCTACATTGGTTTAGGTTGGAGTGACTTTTCTTCATAGAATCCTATATGGTGCTGTGTTTTAATTTAATGTCYAACACTGTGTTGATTAATACACCAATGTTCTCAAAACTGCTAATTAGCGCTAACAGAGCATCAAGACTTTCTCTGTTTCTCACGCTGCCCCATCCAGGGAGTGTGCTGAGGATAGGAAAGAAATGGGAAAGGACCAAACCAGGGCAGCTGACCCCAGCTAACCAAAGGAATATCGATGACATACAACATTGTGCTCAGCAATAAAAGTAGATTGCAGAGGAGTGGTTTTTCTAAGATAGCTGGAGGACTGGCTGGGGATTGATCAGCTGATGGGAGGTGGTTAATGCCTTTAAACCACTTGTGTGTTTTTCTTTTCTTCATTTAATAAATTTTCTGTATCACAATTCATGAGGTTTTTGTCATTTTTTCCCCTTCCATTTTTTTCCCATCTCCTGCTGGCATGGGAGAGTGAGAGGGCAACTGGGTTTGGACTTTGCTGTTGGCCAGCAAGGGGTCAACTCACTGTGAATTCTAAGTCATTTGTTTTTTACTCCATTTTAATAATTCTGTAAGGCTTTGTTGGAGTCCAGGCCAAATCCTCTASACATTTGAATGAAAAGTGCTAATCTTTCATAATTTCTTTTTATCAGTGAGGTGGATGGTACAGGAGAAGCAGATTCTCATCTTTTAATTCAAGCACTGGGGCTTAATCCGGAGCAGATGAGAGCAGGAAAAATCCCCTTGTTCTGTCCTACCTCTGAGCTGGATGTTAATTTCCTGCATATTTTGGTGTACGCACAGTCTGATCACACTTGGAACTGTGATAAGAGAATACTTATTGAGGAAAAAAATAGTCAGATACTTATTAGGAAAACACTATCAAGTACTCAGCAGCATGAAGGGTGATTCTTGCATGCTTATGACTTTTCCAGGCATGGCAGAATTTTYCAGTTTTCAGCTTTGTCTAACGCCCCCTACCTCCTGCCAAATTTCAAGAACCTGTTCAAAAATAGTCAGGTGCTAGAACATCTGAATGAAAAAATGTTTGTCAAAGGTATTTTAACACCAGCAAAACAAAATACAGAATTGCAGAATGGGTAAGATTGGAAAGGACAGCAGTGGGCCACTGGTCCAACCTCCCTGCTCAAGCAGGGTCATTTTAGAGCACATGGMACAGGATTGTGCCCAGACAGTTCTTGAATATCTCCAGTGAGGGACACTCCACAGCTTCTCTCCTGCACCCTGTTCCAATGCTCTGTCATTAACAATTAACACAGTAAAGAAGTTCTTTCTCATAATCAGGTGAAACTTCCTGTGCATCAGTCCCTCCCTTGCTCTTGTCCTATTGCTTGGCACAGCCAGGAAAAGCCTGATTTCATTCTCTTAACAACCCTCCCTTCAGACACTTATAGAAAATAYTGAAGTCCCCTCTCAATTGTCTCTTCTTGAGACTGAACAGACCCAACTCTCTCAAGCTTTCCTCAAAAGAGATGTGCTCTGGTCTCCTAATCAGGTGTGAAATCCTCCTCTGGACCCACCCCAGGAGCTCCACGTCTCTCTTGTACTGAGGAGCCCAGAACTGGACACAATACTCCAGGTGAGGCCTCACCATGGCTGAGTAGAAGGGCAGGATCCCACACCTCAACCTGCAGGCAATGCTCTTCCTACTGCACCTCAGGATACCAYTGGCCCTTCCATCATTTGCTTGTCCYGGTTTCCTGGGTCAGAGATTCCTCTGGGCTTGCGAAGGCTGATAGCGAAGGCTGATGCAAAGAAGTTCATTAAGTTTGTCTTGTGTGTCATCAGGGTCCCACTCCRTTTAGCACTGGGCCCACACTATCCTTAGTTTTGTTTTTGTTAYGGATGTATTTGGAAAAGCTCTTCTTGTTATCCTTGACGTCTGGGCTAGATTTCAGTCCACGCAGGCTTTGGTGTTTTTTGTTTTATATCTATTTTGACAGCCTCTCTATATTCATTCCAAGTGATGTGACTGTGCTTCCCTTTTCTATGTATTTCCTGCCTACACCTGAGTAATGACAGGAGTTCCTTTTTCATCCACACAAATGTCTTGCCTCCTTTGCAGGGGATTTGCTGCCAGCCCAATCAGAAACCCTCTACCACTCCCTTCTCTCTATCTCTAAGGTCCCCTTCTTTTGCCTGGTGAAGAGGGTGGGGATCCATTCCTTCTGGGGAATAGGGTGGGGGATCCATTGCTTCTGGTGAAGTGGACAGCAGGTGGGTTTATCTAGGGCATGGCAGAGTGCAGTCCCTCTGATAAATCTCTTCCTCAGAGTCCATAATTCCTGTCAGTCTTTCCACTTCATCTCTCCGTGCTGCCATCAGGCTGAGCACATTGCTGACCTGATGGAGCTCACAGACCTGATCTCCCTGCTGCCCTCAGAGAGCAGTGCCATGTTCTGGCACTCTCTGCAGTGACACCTGCACCCCTGCATGCTCTTCTGGGTGCTCCATCTGGGTCACCTCATCCTTTGTGGTGTGTGGGGAGAAAAAATTTATGGCCAAGTGAACACCATATCTGAGCTCTCCCAGACAGGGAGATGGCCACCAACTCAGCTGATTGCTTGAGCTGACAGATACATACTTATAA